TGAAATTGAATAACCCTATTTGTGCCGAATGGAATAAGAATCATTCCTCTCTTTGTTTTCACATTTTTGTTGGCACTGTCGAAGAAATTTATTTGGAAAGAGAAATAGGGCTGTCTCTTACGTTTATACTTATCTTCACGCACAATCCCTGACGGGGTAGCCAGAGAGAACAGATCGCCAAATGTCACGATACTTACATACCTCTTTCGCTTCTTTCAGATTCATTATCTTCCTCATACATGCACGTCTAGGTATCCGAGTACTCTTGACCCTACCCTCTTCGATCAATTTGCTCACATGGTCTTCGAAAGTTAGTCTCGGTCTACCTCGACACCTTTTAATATTAACTTTCGCGCTATATATTTTCTTCACCATTCGGTCTTCACTCATTCGCTCAACGTGCCTAAACCACCGAAGCACGCCCTTATCAATTTTTGTGATAAGGTCATCTTTCAAACCTGCCATATTGCGAATCTCTTCGTTTCGCTTTCGGTCGGCCATGGTAACGCCGCACATTTTACGAAGAGATCGCATCTCCACTGCATTCAACTTGCTTTTATGCTTCTTCTGGCATACCCAGGTTTCGCTGCCATATAACAAAGTCGGTACCAACACTGCGTTATGTATTGCAAGGCGTGCACTCTTCACTCCGCCTTGCCTTTTGAATAACGCAGTCAGGGCACCATTGACTTTGTTACCGGCAGCGACACGCCTGTCCACATCTAAATCACATCTTCCATTCCGGCTAAAACACTCCCCAAGTATACAATTTCATTTACTTGTTCTGATTTCTGACATTCCTGATTTACCCATATTTCACACTTCGTTCTCTCTTCGTCCCTTTCAAATACCAGAACCTTAGTTTTATTAGCGTTCAAACGCAGACCTTTGTTTTCACATTCCTCTTTCATACACGTGACTAATGCCTGCAGTTCTGCCTCTGATGGTATAATAAGCACTGCATCATCAGCATACAGCAGACAATTATTTTTATGTCACCCAATTTCACACCCAAACAGCTATCTTTCAGCTTTTGTAAACAGCTGTCGAGATACAGTATGAACAGCCAGGAAGACATGACACAACCCTGTTTTACGCCCGTTTGGACGCTAAACATGGGTGACAGGTCATGCCCTACCCGCACACAGGCTTTACAGTCACAGTTAAGAGACTGCACAGCATTTAGTAATCGACCATCCACACCATACCCCGGCAACAGTTCCCACATTTTCTTCCTTACAATCTTATCAATTGCTTTCTCAAGATCCACAATAGCACAGAAAATCTTCTGGTTAGCATCCAGAAGCTTTTCCGTGATCATGCGGAGATAAAACATTTGATCCGTGCATCCTCTTCCAGGTCTAAATCCGCATTGTGCCTCTCATAGAAATCTTTCCGATTTCTCTTACATCCTACGTGTCAAAACCTTCGAGTAAACTTTACTTGCTAAACTGGTCAAGCTGATCGCCCGATAGCACCCGCAGTCAAAATGTGAACTTTTACCTTGATATAAAGGCACAATGACTGCGGATCGCCAATCATCCGGGACATCCCCTGTCCGCCAGCACAAATTGCACAGCAGATGAAAGCTGTCCCAGACGCGAGGCCCACCATACTTGACCATTTCAGCAGTAACTCTGTCTAGTCCCGCAGCCTTACCACATTTCAAACTTCGAATCGCACGTTCAATCTCTTTCATACTGATGACCTCAGTGTCATCGAGGTCCGGGTCTGGCGTACCAGTCACGGCGTCATCCCCGGATCCCTCACTAAGATCATCACACGCATACATTTCTCTATAAAATTCGCTCCATCGCTGCATGACGTCCGATTTTTCTGAGAGGACGTCATTAGTTCTCGAAGGCACTTTGTTCATTCTTAAGGCTGTCGCACCACTTCGGGTCCTTCCAACCTCTTTCCAGAAGAGTTTGGAGTTCTCCTTAAAGTTGTGCGACAACCTTTCGTCCGCTTCCATTCTACACCTTTCACGCACTTCCTTAATCAATGCTTTCGTGTGAACTTTCTGCAGCTTATATCTTTTTTTTTATCTTCTCTCTCATATCCTTATCATTACTAGAGGCCAAGTAGTCTAACCATGCTTTCTTCTTCTTCTTTACAGCTTCTTTCACTTCATCATTCCACCATGAATCTCTTCTTTTACTACTGCCTCTTTTTATTGTTCCACACACTTCTTCCGCTGCACTTACCATTCCATCCCTAAGGTTGTTTACTGGCAAGCTAGTTGTGTTTGTCCTATTGATACACTTGAAGAGTTGATAATATATAAATCAAACTACAACAATGTATGATCTGAGCTGGTTTATTATTATATACAATAATTTAAGTGGCCTTATTACACACTGAGTAACGCAACCATAGTGCAATCTATTTCTATGTCAACGCCATCTATCGAAGTAGAACTAAAACTTTTTTAATTACAAATGTGGTTTCTTCATTAACATACCGCCCACCAAGGACATTTAGTGACGGAATGGCCTTTTAAATTGTACTTAAGTCTAAAATTTGCACTTAAATCTAAAATTTGAACTTAAATCTAAAATTTGCACTTAATACTTTATAACACACTTCTATAATTTAATCTCATAAAGTATGACCTAAAAACTTACAAATAAAAATAAAGACTTCAACAGCTTAAAATAACCTAAAATAAAATTTTGAAAAGTAACATTGTAAAATTAAACCTATAAATGTAATTAATGTTGTACATATAGCTACATTTGATCGTAAAAGTAAAAGAACATTTGATACAATAATATTTTTACATAAATTTGACATAAAAATTGAACAATTCATGGATCCGAGATAGGCAGAATACATAATTTTGATGTTGGCCTCTTAATTACGGATGTTTTCGTACGCAATGTGACTACACGGGTAACGTTATAATCACCGGGGTGTTTCTCTATAACTCTACCCAATAACCAACGACTTGGAGGCAAATCATCTTCTTTAATTAAAACAACGTCACCAACATTAGGTTTCGGAACTTGTGACGCCCATTTGTACCTATTCATGAGCTTTGACAGATATTCCTGTGACCATCGTTTCCAAAAAGACTGCAGCATCCTTTGCACAAATTGCCACCTAGTTAAATAGCTTACGTTTGAACTTTTGTAATTTTTATCTGGTACATTAATTATCGGTTCTCCTATTAAAAAATGTCCAGGAGTTAAAGGGAGGGGCTCACCAGGATCAGTAAAGTTAATAACGCTTATCGGCCGCGAATTCAGACAGGCTTCCACTTGATTGAGGAATGTAGTCATTTCCTCGTACGTTAGGGTAGAGTCGCCAATAACCCTTTTAAGGTGAAATTTGGTGGATTTTACACCCGCTTCCCAAAGACCACCGAAATTGGGAGCATGAGGCGGAATAAAATGCCACTCGGTGTTGCTTGCTTCCAGATATTCTGCTATGGCTGGCTGAATAGATGCCAACTGTTGCAGTTCTCTAGAGGCGCCTACAAAGTTGGAGCCGTTGTCGCTCCACAATTTAGCACAGTGACCTCGTCGCGACACAAAACGTCGAAAAGCGGCTAAAAATGCCTGTGTGCTCATGTCACTGACGACCTCTAGGTGAATAGCACGAGTGGACATGCAAACGAAAAGGCATATGTAGCCCTTATAAGAACGATGCCCACGTCCTTTAGTGGTTCTTATACTTATGGGTCCAGCATAATCCACTCCGCTATATAAAAATGGTCTTGCTGGTGTACATCGAACCGATGGGAGCGCACCCATCAGTTGGTTTCTAATACTAGCTCTCTGTTTCGCACAAGTTACACACTTGCGAACATATTGTTGAACTAGAGATCTAGCACCTATTACCCAATAGGCTGACCTTAAATAGTTTGCCATTAACTGAGGACCACCATGCAATGTCTTCTCATGCGCGTCTGCAACTATAAGAAGAGTCAAATGGCATGAATGTGGTAGAACTATCGGATGTTTTACTTGCTCATCTAGTTCAGACTTTTCAAGTCGTCCACGAATTCGCATGATACCATTCTTGTCGAGAAAAGGACAAAGTGATTTCAATTTACTTGATTTTATATTCAAATACCCTTTTTCCTTTAATTGTTCATATTCTGTTGCGAATGAATCTATTTGTGATTTCCTTATACAAGTTTGTAATGCTGCTTCTATTTCGTGATCTTTCAAATATTTACTATCGTGTTTTTCCTTTTTTAAAACTCTTCGACAATACGCAATAACTTTAACTAATTTTCTTAGACTGGAATAATTTTCGAAAACTACGTGCTCTGGAACTACAGCTGTGTGCGCCTTTATAGTTTGTTCTAAATCTGTCTTTAGATTCTTTGGCCTCTTGTACTCAATTAATTTATTTTTCAGAAATGATGGTCCTGAAAACCATAACTCATTACCGACTAATGAACTGGGTAGTATTCCTCTTGATGCGCAGTCAGCTGGGTTCTCTTTGGTCGGCACATGAAACCATTGAGATGAATTCAAAGCGCCCAAAATTTCTGAAGTCCTGTTGGCAACAAACATTTTCCACCTGCTAGGGTGACTATTAAGCCACGATAGCACTACTGTAGAATCAGTCCATGCAAAGATCTTTTCCTTTGAAATATTTAAAATCTCTGCTGTCTCTATCAATAACTTTGATACAAGTACAGCACCACATAGCTCCAATCGAGGAATACTAATTTGTTTGATGGGAGCTACTCTCGTTTTAGCCACTAACAACGACAGATGAATTTTGCCTGAGACATCAATTGTTCTTAAGTAAACGACGGCTGAGTACGCTGCTTTAGAGGCGTCACTAAAACCGTGCAATTCAAGGTCATCAGATGAACTAGTACCAAGCCAACGAGGTACCTGAACTTTGGTTAGTAATGACAACTCTTCGCGGTAAGTACTCCACTCTGTTATTACTTCGGTAGTTAATTCCTCATCCCAACATACACCTAAGAGCCATAATTTTTGTATGAACATCTTTGCTAATACGACACTAGGAGCTTACCATCCCAATGGGTCGAACAAACGAGCTATATCTGATATTATTAGTCTTTTTGTTACAGGTGCTGTCGTCAGCGGTGGAAGATTTACCGAGTACTGAAAGCCATCTTCGTGGCGGTTCCAGGTAAGTCCCAAAATTTTTATTGTACTATCTAGCTTAATTTCTATTTCCTTATTATCTATTTCCTTTTCCTTAACTCCTATGTCCTCTTTGTCCTTATTTTCAGTGTTCTCATTTTTAATTTTTATTTGACCTGTTTGCTGTACTACTTCATTTGTATATATTGAACTTATTCTATCTAATAGTTGCCGATTGTTACTGTTCCACTTCTGCAATGCGAATCCTCCCTTTCCTAATAATGCTACCATCTGTTTACAGATTTCAACGCCCTCTTCGACGCTATTACTTCCCATCATTAAATCGTCCATATAAAAAGAGTTTAAAACTCTATCTGCTGCAAGCAGGTACTTATCTCCTTCGTCGTACGCAACCTGATGGAGTGACCTAACTGCCTGATATGGTGCAGAAGCTGTTCCAAAGGTCACCGTTACCAACTCACAATCCCTAAGTGGCTTTTCAGGGCTTTCTCGCCAAAGTATCCTCTGGAAGACAGCATCTTCATCCGCTATTCTGACTTGGCGGTACATTTTGATTATATCCGCCACAATACCAATAGCGTGTACTCTCCATCTAAGAATGGTGTGTCTTAAGTCTGCTTGCAGCGTTGGTCCAACCATTAAAGTGTCATTGAGTGAAACTCCTTTTTTATTTTTCTCAGAGGCGTTGAAAACTACACGTACCTTCGTGGTGGTCTTATCGTTTCTAATCACCGCGTGGTGTGGTAAGTAAACTGCTTCATCTTTCTTATTATCCTCTTCCTTTACAGGTCTCATGTGTCCTAATTGTAAGTATTCATTAATTACCTCTGTATATTTTTCCTTTAAATATGTGTCCTTATTTAATCTTTTTTCTAACGATTTGAATCTTGTTTCAGCTATGTCACGGGAACTTCCGGCCTTGCATGCAGGATCTTCGTCTCGAAATGGTAAACGTACAATGTATCTGCCTGTATCATCCCTCTTAGTAGTTTTCATATAAAATTCTTCACATTTTTGCTCTTCTGGGTTAAGTAATTTCCTTGTACTAACTTGTTCTTCTATCTCCCAGAATTTCTTTAGAATATTGTCTTCATTGAACTGTGTACAGTGCACACTTAAATTTCTTGTGTGGTGTTTTGAACTCTCATTGCTTGAACTGACTACACCGGAAAGGATCCACCCTAAGGTGGTGTTCTGCGCTATTAGAGTACCAGACGGACTCTTTACTACACCTTCCTTCATAATGCAACAGTAAGCATCTGCACCCAAAAGAATGTCTATTTTATTAGGTGTTTTGAAATAAGGATCTGCCAAACAAAGACCGTTGATATCAATCCAATCCAATGAACTGGTATTCACACTTCTCTCAGGTAAGTATGATGTAATCTTACTCAAGACGTAAGCATTTATTTGAAGTTGAAAATCAAGATCAACAGTGGATTTAATTATTAAATTTACCATATAATTAGCAATGGTTGACTTATTATCTCCTAAACCTGAAACGTGACCTCGGACTGGAATTTTCTTAAGCCTAAGAAATTGGACAGTGGCCTCTGTTATAAAACATGCTTGTGATCCTTGATCAAGTAGGGCTCGAATTGTTTGAAATTCACCTATCTTGGACTCTGCCTTTATTAATGCAGTGGCTAATAAAACCTGTCTGGGTTTTAAGACTTTGCCCGTAGATAAGCATGTAACTATCTGATTGTCACTATTTGAAGAACTGGCGTTGTCGATAGTGGACTTTACTGTAGAATCTTGGCCTTTATTCTCAGCGTTAGGTTCTCTATTAGGGTGCAGCAAGGAATGGTGGCGCTTTTTGCAAACTCTACAGACATTCTGCTTTTTACAGTCATAAACTGTATGATTTCCGCCTAAACAATTAAAACATATTTTATTTTTTGCTACGAACTCTCGTCTGTTTTCTATGGACTGTTTTGCAAATTGCTTACAAAAACAGAGCTTGTGAAGTTCTGAGCAAAATTCGCAACGAATATTCGACGACTTTGTGGCCAACATTGCTTTCGAACTAAGAACGTGAGAACTATTATTGATCTGGTGAGCCACATCCTTCCTCGGCTCTATACATTCTAAAGCGCGAAAACGACTTTCAATAAATATCCGAAACTGCTCAAAGGTGGGCAACTCGTTGCTGGAGTCATTAGAAACACTTAACTCCCACTGCTTTCGTGTTTCATTATCTAATTTGAACGTCACTATATGGATAACAATAACGTCCCATGTACTTACATCGATTTTCAAATTTTTCAATGCATTTAAACAGTCGCTCGTGGTATCTAGCAGCTCCTTTAATGAGTTAGCCGATTCCACATGTAAGCGTTTCTGGCCGAACATTCTTTTTAAAATACAACTGGTTAAATACTTTTTATTTGCGTAACGCTTTTCTAACTGAGACCAACATTCGCGGTAATTGGCATCTGTGATTGGTGTGTGCCTAATCAACTGTTCGGCTTCACCAGTGAGGTGGCTTTTAAGATAGTGCAGTTTTTGCACATTATCTAAAGATGCATTATTGTGTACAAGTGAAATAAAAAGATCGTGAAAAGATGTCCATTCACTGTACTTGCCAGAAAAGGTAGGAATTGTTATCTTGGGCAACTTTACAAATGAATTAGATTGCTTAGAAGAATTATTACTACATCCACTGTCTTGTGGTAGCGGTTCTCTTACACTATTTAACGTTGATTTCATTAAACATTTACATGATATGTAAGTATCTTCGGTTGTGTCATATATATCGACAACCTTTTGACCTATGTCTTCTAACTTAAACCGACCATAAAGTTGAGATTTAGTATTTTTAAACGAAGACCAATCATTTTCTAATAATTCAAGCCTTGTTTGTATATATTCTACTGTAAGTCTATCCTTTGGACACTTTTTAAAATTAGTAAAGGCTTTTTGAATTACTTGTTGAAGGTCTTTTAATATATTAATTTGTCCTTCCATCGTAAACAACAAACAAAATGATGGTAAAAGATAGTTATAGAATTGATTAATTAATATCAAAAAAAAGTATAATTTAATTATTTATGTGAAGATAAATTTATCAATCTAAATGTTAACACAATATTAACTTGGTAACAGAACAACCTCAATTGAAATGTATAACTTTACAAGTTTCTTTACTAGACAAAAGTTTGCGATTTTTTCTAAGTCTCAAAAACAACGAAAAATTTTACAAGTGTTTATAAATAAATACACTCTGGTAGAAATCGGACATAGGTTCCCCGTTCCTCCGTTTTTATAAAACTTATTCTAAGTCCTTAATCTAACATGCACAATTTTAAAGTTAAAATTTTCTTAGAAATAAAGTTTAAAATTGCTTGGCAAATAATGTCTACAGTACTTGTCACCAATCAAGTTATATTAAATGTCTCTGCTACTATGGTATTTAATTAAATTGTACTCACGTTTGCACTTCACTCACACAAACCCAGGTTGAACTAGTAGTGTACTCGTGGCGCCCTCCTTCGGCGTCACTTTGAACTTCAACTCCCGGCTGCTATCGACGAACTCAAAGATTGAATTGGCGATGTACTGCTGATGGCGCCCTCTGTGGCGTCACGTTGAACTAACACTCCCAATGCAGCTGAGTATGGCCCTCTTGCTGGGCCAAGCTGTTGCTGCCTCTGCGAGGTGCCCGGTACTCTTGCCGCAGCGATCCACTGCGAGTACTACGGGGTGCGGCCCAAAGCTGGCACCGCAAACTAACAAAAAATTCAGACTATTCCGGGTCTGATATCCGGGGTCGATGGACCAATGTTTACTAGCAAGCTAGTTGTACTGTTTGTCCTATTGATACACTTGAAGAGTTGATAATATATAAATCAAACTACAACAATGTTTATTATTATATACAATAATTTAAGTGGCCTTATTACACACTGAGTAACGCAACCATAGTGCAATCTATTTCTATGTCAACGCCATCTATCGAAGTAGAACTAAAACTTTTTTAATTACAAATGTGGTTTCTTCATTAACATACCGCCCACCAAGGACATTTAGTGACGGAATGGCCTTTTAAATTGTACTTAAGTCTAAAATTTGCACTTAAATCTAAAATTTGCACTTAAATTTAAAATTTGAACTTAAATCTAAAATTTGCACTTAATACTTTATAACACACTTCTATAATTTAATCTCATAAAGTATGACCTAAAAACTTACAAATAAAAATAAAGACTTCAACAGCTTAAAATAACCTAAAATAAAATTTTGAAAAGTAACATTGTAAAATTAAACCTATAAATGTAATTAATGTTGTACATATAGCTACATTTGATCGTAAAAGTAAAAGAACATTTGATACAATAATATTTTTACATAAATTTGACATAAAAATTGAACAATTCATGGATCCGAGATAGGCAGAATACATAATTTTGATGTTGGCCTCTTAATTACGGATGTTTTCGTACGCAATGTGACTACACGGGTAACGTTATAATCACCGGGGTGTTTCTCTATAACTCTACCCAATAACCAACGACTTGGAGGCAAATCATCTTCTTTAATTAAAACAACGTCACCAACATTAGGTTTCGGAACTTGTGACGCCCATTTGTACCTATTCATGAGCTTTGACAGATATTCCTGTGACCATCGTTTCCAAAAAGACTGCAGCATCCTTTGCACAAATTGCCACCTAGTTAAATAGCTTACGTTTGAACTTTTGTAATTTTTATCTGGTACATTAATTATCGGTTCTCCTATTAAAAAATGTCCAGGAGTTAAAGGGAGGGGCTCACCAGGATCAGTAAAGTTAATAACGCTTATCGGCCGCGAATTCAGACAGGCTTCCACTTGATTGAGGAATGTAGTCATTTCCTCGTACGTTAGGGTAGAGTCGCCAATAACCCTTTTAAGGTGAAATTTGGTGGATTTTACACCCGCTTCCCAAAGACCACCGAAATTGGGAGCATGAGGCGGAATAAAATGCCACTCGGTGTTGCTTGCTTCCAGATATTCTGCTATGGCTGGCTGAATAGATGCCAACTGTTGCAGTTCTCTAGAGGCGCCTACAAAGTTGGAGCCGTTGTCGCTCCACAATTTAGCACAGTGACCTCGTCGCGACACAAAACGTCGAAAAGCGGCTAAAAATGCCTGTGTGCTCATGTCACTGACGACCTCTAGGTGAATAGCACGAGTGGACATGCAAACGAAAAGGCATATGTGCCATGTAATTTCTACACATTCGTTTCTGCCATCGATGGTGTCAAGCTTTTCGGCTACCCTTGCATGATATTTGTCCCTAGTATCCGCTTCCCGAAGCTTCCAGCTTCGGATGCGACAGACCGACTGTGGTTCTGTCACTGCCGTCCGGTAGCGCCAACCCGCGAACAGACCCCTAAATCTAGTAATCACTAGATAGTGATCCGTTCCCAGGTCAGCACCCCTGAACACTCGTGTATCCATAACCTGTTTTCGCAGTCGGTCATCCACCAGGAACACATCGATCATACTTCTCCCATTCTTTCTTTCTCTAGTATACATATGGATTTTCTTGTGATTAAACATAGTTTTTGTCACAAGAAGTACCTTTTCCATGCACACCGCCAGTATAAGCTTGCCAGCATCATTAACCCTTTTATCGCCAAACTTTCCAAGTACCGACTCGTACCCTGGTCGAGCGGTACCAACCCATCCATTCAAATCACCACATACAACAATTCTTTCGTTTCCCCTAGCCAAATCTAGAACTTCTCTTACATTAACCCAAAACTCCTCCAGCTCAGCCCTGGACGACGAAGCTACCGGCGCATAAACAGCCAAAAGGAATAACTTCGTCAGTCCAAATTTAAAGCGAATCCAGAGAAGTCTTGAGTTCACAAACTTATATTCAGTCCTAACATCGACCAACCGAGAAGACAGCAGCACCCCCACTCCCTGGCAGGCGTTCTCGCTCTCCGGGACTCCGGACCATAGAGCAAACGCCCCGCCAGGGAGCTCTTATGTTACGTTTATCGCTCTTATGTTTATCGTTTTGTTAATTTGTCTGTTTGATCTATACGCATCGGTAAATTAATTTGTTTGAATTAATTCAGAAGTTGAACATTGATGCTTTTGAAACTTGGTTGAAATATGAGCATAGGACTACTTGTCTAAAAGGCTAGCTAGTTGGGAGATTATCAGATTGAAATCAGCTGCCGCACAATTGAGTAAATGATTATATGGTAGATGGCTTGGTTATGCCTACTTGCTTGAAAAATCATACTAAGGACTATCTGTGCGTTTCGTTTGCCTCGCCACAGTAGCCGTTCATGTGGAACGTGTGTGTGCCCTCTGCACTGAAGCTTAGGTGGCCACGCTGGGCCCCTTCGTATTGCGTCGCTGTTTGCAGACCTGATCCGGTCGGAGCACGGAACATTATAAGGGGCACGGATAGATATTTGAAAGAGGTCGCCGGACTTCTGTCCAGTAACAGGACTTTTTTAGGTGCTGCGATGTCCGGGAAGGGCATCCAGTGGAGGTTCGACCCTTCCGCTTGCCCGATTGGGGCTGTATTTTTGAGGCGGTGGTAAGGGTTGCCAGATCTGATGGGGTGCCTAAGGTGGCCTAGGTTTTGGTTAAAGATTCGGTCTTGCAACGTGCCGTCGCGACCCTGTCCCGCATGCCGGTTTGCTCGCGGACGTAAGTCCTTATGTCCGGGACGGGGGTTTGTTTAGGCCCAAACATGGTCATTTGAAACGGCATCCAATCGCTTTTGACTTAGCGAATCGCCCGACGGTGTGAGGTGACGTGCGCGTCGTCGGGGGGGGGGGGGGGGGGCAGCGGTATGCAGCTTCCCAGCGTTCGGCACTCATGGGCAAGACCAGTAGCTTAAGAGCAGCGGCGCGGTCGATTAACGTATTTTGTGGTGACCGCTGCAGCGATTACGCGCGACCAGTTTTGGTTTTGTGGTCTAGATTTTAGTATTTGTGCGCGTTTAATTCGCTATTGAATTTGTGAGTTCGTGAAAACTGCCTCGGATTAGTTTGTCTAAATTGTACGTTCGTGACAAGAGGCTTGTATTGAATTTGACTGATTAAAGTAATTTCGTTTGAAAGTAATTGCGTCAATTGTATAGTGATTGCGTGTTGAAGTGAATTTTGCAATATTTAACTTGCTTGTGTGACGTGGAACCTTGCGCGCACGCAGAGTAGAGATACGGTCTGGAATTTGAAGCTCGCATTCTATTTCGAGGGCGTAGCCCGGTTAATTGTTTTTGGAAGTCATTGTTTAATTGTACCGTCGCGTTAAGAGCCTTTTGTGTGTTGACTCTGTAGTTAGTTTGAGTGTCAGCTAGGCTGATTTTTAATTTTTATTATTGCGGCGTAGTATTTAATATCGTACGAAGGAACTTTGTGACTCGAGAAGAGATCGCGTACGCTCCCGGTTTGTAATTTGGTGCTACATGAACCCGGAACCTTGAATATTGAACTTTGGACTACTGTTCGCTTCTTGTGTCGAGTTTCATGTGTTTGATTTCGATGAACGTTGAATTTAGTTGAGTTTGAAGTTAGTTAAATGTACAATAAAGTTGATAAACTGAAATAGTGAAATGAAAAAGAAGTTGTCAATTGGTGACGTCCGCTGGAGTGATACAACATGGTGGGGCAGCATCGGACCAGGCCGCTGCCCAGTCACCTCAGCTGGGTAGGTCACATATATAAACACTACTACACACCACTTATATGCACCTACACCTACCTACGGCCTGACCGAGCTTTGGGACAGTCTTAGCTTCGGAACCAGGTACGTACTATCTATTTACCTAGCCTTAACTCTATCGTGTAGGTTAAGTCTCCACAGGCCAAAGGGCCCCGCCCTTAGTTGTTCGTCGAATCTACAGCTGTATGGGGCCCTGTATGGTCGAACTTTTGTTGGGGCAGGTAGGGGCGTGTACAGTGGTATAACTTATCGATCTATTTTATTTTGTTGCTGGTTCTTCATGAGTTGCTGCT